AGGATGAAGAGAAAGGGGGGGTCTTGTCGAAGCGGAGCAAGACCCCCCTAACTCAAAAAAAAACAAATTGGGCTGCATTGAAAAGGGGGCGGGGGGGTTGTCCGGGGGGCGAAGCCCCCCACCAAAGGGGCAGGGGGCAAACCACTTTCTTTCCCCTTATCTTTTCTTCCCTTCCCTTTCCTTTTCTTTTCTTTTCTTTTCTCTTTTTTTCATCTCTTTCTTTTTCTTTCTCTTCCCTTTCTTTTCCTTTCCTTTCCTTTTTTTGTTTTTTCTTTTTTTTTGTCTTTTTATATAAGATGTGCATGAGGCGCATGAGGCGTATGCCTCTAGCACGCCTCATGAAAAAAGTGCATGAGGTGTATGCCTCTTGCACCTGAGGCGTACACCTCAGAGGTGTCAGCACCTCTGGCATACGCCTCGGGGCGTTTTGGGAGCACCTTGCCTAGAGGTGCGCCTCTAGGTGTACCCCTCCCACTCCTTTTAAAACACTGGTTGACTCTTATGGATTCTTGTGTCTGAGGTTCGAATAAGTGACTTTGTTTTTCACAATTGTGGTAATGTCTGCCGTTGATTTTGTAGAAAATATTTGCCATTATTTTTAAATAGAAACAACAAAATTCCAAGTTTTAGTAGGAGCTTGTTTTCAATCTATATGATGATGGTTAAGTAGTTAGTTTCAAGGTTCAAAGTATCAGCATGATATGCCTGATAGGGGCGTATCGTATCTATGGGCTCCAGTACACCCGTTTACAGGTGTTTTTACAAAATCCTTTATATATATATATATATATATATATCGGTTAAAGTACCAGTTCACCTCTGCCGATACACAGAGGTGTATTGAACTTTGAACCATGGTTAGTTTATTGATTAATGAATTAATAAGGTTTTCTCTATGTGCAGTGATGCTCTTGGTATAGCAAGTATTGTTGCTGCAATGCTTGGCTTATCCATACTCCTGCTTCTTGGAGTGCTGGATTGGGATGATTGCTTAAGTGAAAAGTCAGCCTGGGATACCTTGGCTTGGTTTGCGGTTCTGGTGGGCATGGCAGGTCAACTAACAAACCTTGGTATAGTAGCATGGATGTCTGACTGTGTGGCCAAGTCCCTCCAATCTTTGTCATTGAGCTGGCCAGCTGCATTTGTTGTTCTCCAAGCATCTTACTTCTTCATCCACTATTTATTTGCAAGTCAGACTGGTCATGTAGGAGCTTTGTTCTCTGCATTTCTTGCCATGCACTTGGCATCCGGAGTACCTGGTGTTTTGGCTGCACTGGCTTTGGCATACAACACTAATCTCTTTGGTGCATTAACACATTATAGCAGTGGTCAAGCTGCTGTATATTTTGGAGGTACTACTTCTCTGTCATTATACATATTTCATCCTTTCAGCTATTTTTTGGGGGTTAGTTTGATATTAAGAGGTCGTATTTGTTTTCAAGAATCAAATTTGGTTTCAACATTAATCCTTGTGTTCAGAAAATAATTTTTTATCTGTGTGTGTATGTTTGTGGCATATCTGTTTTCTACAATTCTACTATTGTTGTTTATACTGCTTACATTTTCTGTTTCCCTTATGTGGTTAATGCCTATGGCTGCATGCAAACTGAACCATTTTTCTTTTGCTCCTTTAACAGCGGGTTATGTAGACCTTCCTGATGTTTATAGACTGGGATTTGTAATGGCCCTAATAAATGCTGTCATCTGGGGAGTTGTTGGAGGTTTATGGTGGAAATTTTTAGGCCTCTATTGAATTCCTGCTATCTGTAAGTTGTCTTTTCTTCTGATTTTTGTATACTGTTTTTATGTTAGATGTAGTCTGAATGGTGATTTCATTGGAAGAAGATGCCACAAGTTTTGTTTGGCTTTAAGACTTGAGTTCCCATCAGCTTTTCTCTGGCATAAATGCGGCATGATCATCCAGACAGATTTTGAATCCTTTTGCTCTAGACTCGCTTCCTTTTAATTCGAAGCTGATTATCCTGTAATCTGTATTCTGCTTAGCAATAATGCAGTACCTGTTCATGGGCTGGGCTTGGATTTGGCTTTTGCTAAAATTTGAATGGGAGCCCTAAGCCTGAACCCAAAACAGTGTAAAGCTAAGCCCAAGCCCAGCCTGTGAACAGGTCTTAAAAGTAAATAACTATTAGGGTAAATGACTTAAACATACCCTGAATTTTCATAAATTGACTTAAAACATACCCTGTGTTTTACAAATAGACTTAGTAGGTGTTTGGCATTGGTGCTGGGAACATCGCACCGTTTCAGAAAACGGTGCGGGGCAGAGTTGTAAGCACCGTTTTCTCAGAAAATGGTGCTGCCACATACGCATTTTTTGAGAAAACAGCACTGGTTTTGTTTGATACCAGTGCTGGCAGCAACGTTTTTAACATTGATCTTATTATCCAATGTCCAAGATGATGTCACATTGATGCCACACCATTGCATTATTAGCAGCAACACACCATTTTCCCAGAAAACATCAAATTTGGCGTTGCTTCAAACCACTTTCCTGATTTCGAAGGCATGGTCTGGAGCAATATTTTTTCTGAGACGGTACCAAACAAGAGGGCATTGCTTGCGGCACCATTTTCTCTTATGTGTTGCCTACATGGCACTGTTTTCTCAGAAAACGGCACCGATGCCAAACACCGCCTTAAACTGTTAAACTTACCTCGTGGCCATAAAAAAACTCTTTTACCCTTAAGCATACTTTAAATTTTCAAAAAGAACCAAAAAGACCCAGATACTATTCATCATCTCCCAAACATTACCGTTTGAATATAGAGAGCTCGTCTCCCTCATCTTCTCCATTCTCCTCCTCCTCCATCTTACTTTCTTTCTTTCCCTTCTATTCTATCTCCTTCCTCCCGTTCAGTCTTTCACCGCAGAACATAATAGAGGTGGCTGCGAAAACGAAAACAGCTCATTGCCACACCTACTCTTTTCTCTCTCTGCCTCTTTCTCTCCCTGTTTCTCTCACCCTCTCTTCTTCCCCTCCTTTCTCTTCCCTCCTCTTACTTCTCTTTTGTCTGTTCTTTCAACCTGCAACCTGCCATCATCACTGAACTGCATTTCTGTTGTTACCCTCAACCACCAATCCCTTATTTTAATCTGCCCCCTCTCTACTACGTTATCCATCCATCCACCAGCCCTCTATTTTAATCTGAAAACTGTTGCAATTGAAATTGCAGAAAGTCAGAAAACAGAGCAAGAACTATCGTTTTAAAAGAATCTAGTATTTTCATAGGATAAAATAGGACTTGTAGAATTTTGAAACAGGTTCATGACATGGGAGAAGAAATGAGGGTATGTTTAAGTCTAATGTGATAATATATTTAAGTCCATTTAAGTCAATTTATGAAAAGTTAGGTATGTCTAAGTCTTTTATCCTAATTATTAAAGGAGAAGTGGGGCTTTTAAAGGGCTTATAAAACATTTCTGAATGTTTTTGTTGTCATGTGGCCATGAAATGATGACATTGAGATGCATGATGTTTTTCCATGTTTCAAACTTTCGATATCGACAACGCGTACAAATTGTGTATTGCCTGATTTTGAACTTTGATACTCATTCTGAAGAAAAAGGCATTCACTCGGTTATCCGTGAGTGCAGATTATTTCATTCCAGGCAGTTAATTTTTACGCGAAGACAGATCATGAAATCGGCTAGTCTGGATTTAGGGTACACAAGCCTCATGCTCGAGTTCTGCTAACATAACCTTGCAATGGGAAAGATGAGTTAGGCCAACAACCTATCCACTCCTCGCCAGTAGCTTTAGTTCAAATCAGCCTCCCACCAGATTGCCCCCACAATGTCTGACAGCACATATTCCTGCCGTGTATTGTGAACATCTCTCGATGATGACATCATCATGTCTGGTGTCATCGAGAGATGTTCCCAATTCATGACTTCTTGAATGTGCTATGGGACGTTGGTGTCATCATCTAAAGCTGTGTTCGAATAACTTCAAGTAGAAATGGTGAAATAGCGGAAAGTGCGATGCAACTAAAAAAGAAATTTAAGTTAGTGCCCACATTAGCCTATAACTATATAAGCTGGCTTTCCGAGGCCAGCACCACATTAGCCAGCGGCTTTTCGATATCATCTGAAGCACAGCGGCTTCTGGCTTTCCGAGGCCAGGCCCACATTAGCCTAAATCTGGAGAGCTCAAATCGGCTGTCCACCAGTCATTTCAAGGGCTATCCGCGTCAACCTCTTTAAATAGTTTATCTGGACTGAAAAAAATGACCGAACAACCAATTTGGGCTCTCTGGATTTTTCACCAAAGATGGCTTAAAGGCTGTCTATGCAGGGCCAATCTCGGAGAGCTAGAAGCCGCTGCACTTCAGCCCTTTCAATCGGGCACTAGTCACACCGGCATGGATTGAGAAGTTTGTTTCTGATATGAACAATTTCAAATTTGGATGATGTGTTGCTGCGCTGGTACATCACTCCATTGCTTGGCCTTGCTTCTTTGGATGGTTTGAGAATTTTAGGTCCAGGTACTGTTTTAAGAACCGCATGCTGTGTGGAATTAGGATTTAGGACGCCTCTAATATCATTCATTAGCTAAGGTGGAAAGGGAAATGGTTTACACAAATTTTCCACGTCAGGATTTCTTTTCTTCGTGGTTAATGTTTATGTCATCAGCCCTATGTGAAGTGTGAACAGAGGCCTTCTCTCTTTCCACTTGCAACTTTATTTATTTATTTTTTGTAAATTTGGAATTCCTAATATATACAATAACCTCAAGTTGGTCAAATAAAAGAAAATGAACATCTTAATATCTTGTCGGATTTATAAAAGGAAATGGAAGAAAATGAGAGAAAAAGTGTAAAGCAAGCATTTCATTATGTGATTAGTCCGTTGCTGGCTTTGGCCTTATTAGGCCAACTTGTATTGATGCATGTAAACCCCAAAGCATATGAGCGTCTAGCTTCTTGGCGGTTGTCGGCCTTGTCCAAATCTGGGCCAACCTTGGCTCAGTTGGATCTCTGAGAGCTTGCTCTGGCAGATCTTGATGTCCAGCAGCGTGTCAAGTTCTGTGTAAGCTAGCACCAACAAACATTTCTAATCTCTTGCTTCATCTCTAGCAGGGTTATTGATGGTAGAGTGGCCATAGGCCCTCGTTTAATCCTCAACATATTGGAATATCCAATGGCCATGTGACAAGCCACATGTTGATGGTTGATGGTTATCTCCATGCAACACTCTCTCACACAATTATTCATTTTAAATAATTACTTATTTATTTATTTTCTATAAAAACAAATTTATTTGATTGTTTATTTGAAAACATTTTCATGTATGGTATACCAATGTTGTTGGATTATTTGTATCCATATTCCAGTTCTTATTGGGTCAATGGATATCCATTTGACCCAGTGTAGACTGGATGACCAAGTGGTTAGATCCTTGGTCAACTTGAAACACTTGTCTCAAATTTGATGGAGCATAAATTTTAATGTTAAGGAATACTTATCTCAATTGGTTATTCTGATAACTTTTGTTCCTAATGTCAAAGAACTTAACGTTGGAGAAACAACTATATAAGAGATATCTCCCAAGTGCTTCAACACAATGAGATAGGCCCTTTACTGGGAAAGAAAATTATCCTCTCAGCCTTAGCTCTAATCAGATTAAGCTATTCTCTCTTGCACAGTGTTTGAGAAGTTGGTGTCTCGGATCCTATATAGTGAAACTGTCATTATTCTCTTTGCATGCAGATAAGACAGATAGAGATCCTAGCCGTTTGATTCTGCATGCACTTGGATCATCAATGGTATCAGAGCCCAGCACCGACTGGTATAGTGCTTAAAGCATAGTCGCTCCACACTGAATCTTATCTCATATTTTAAGATTCAGAGAAGGAGAGGAGAGAGAAAACAAACCCACTTCGAGGGTTTCCTCTCTACATCTCTGCCTCTCTGCTCGTCTCTCCCATCTGCGCACCCTCCACTGCAAGGACCCTGCGACATTCAAAAGCTGCTCTAAATCGACGCCAGCCTCCGCTTCAACACTGTTGCAACCTCCGAAGCACCTATTCGAATTTTTTCTTGAACGAACACGAGCTCCAGTGACATCTTTTTGTGGCGATAGACTCTTATTCCAAGTTTTCTCAAGCGAATCTGCTGCTCGAAGAACTACTGAAGCTTCATCCTCTCTTTTCTTTTTTTTTGGAAACCATCTGCAAGATCTGGATCGAACTCGCGACCTTCAGATTTTCAGATCTTCAGTTATGGTGCTTGAGTTTGATCCATTGCTTTAATTTCTTTTGTCTGTCTGTGTAAAATGGGTAACAAACAGCTTGATTTGATGATTCGAACATCTAAACCATCAAATTTTCTAATCTACAGGTCTGAAACTGAAAGGAGGTGAAGCTTTCTCTCTGAGCTTTACTTTTTTATTTTTGCTGCAACAGAGCTTTGTTTTCTGGCATGGTTGATTTTATTCCAAATCCAATCATCCCATGTTCATATCACAAGTCACAACATTGTTTTAGCAGTTCTTTTCTTGTATGTATCTTTCCAAATTCTAACTTAAATAATTTCTTATTGTTATTTTTTACTTGTGATATTACCTTGATAAACTCTGCCATGAACGTCTTCTGTGAAGAAACATTGAAGGAGTATGTTGTACAAACAAATCCATAATATCAAGGGGGGATTCTTTTTGGATTTTGAGAGGGGGAAAATTGGTCAATGGGATCTTGATTCTTATTGACCAAGAATCCCATGTTCTTTTTTGAGATTCATGTAGAAACTAGGGAAAGTTTGTTTTTTCTAGGTATTCTCCTAGGTTGGTAAATAATTTTTCCACCCGGAGGGAAAGTTGTCAGCACTTGAATGGGACAAAAATGTCCATTTTAATAATGAATTTTTA